TCATTTATTGTTCATTATTATTTATACTACTATACTCTTTTGCGTACTAATCTATAGTACTAGCAATGAGATTTTCAATTATTTCGGCATTGAGGCCGCTATATTGGATTTCATTTACATCCAGCTTTGATTCTCTAGCACCCTCTGCAACCCATTGTTAAAGAGTTATTAAGTCGGTGGGATCATTAGCAATGAGGAGAAACGTGATAAACTCTAGATGATATATGGCTTGCCAAAGATCAAGCCGTCTAGTGGCATAATGTGTACCCAAGGTTGGGTGCATATATAAAAAGTATTCATGTCCACCATCTATGCATGACTCAACGAATAATAGTCTTCTGCGGCATCTTGAACTCATTAGTTCAAAGACTATTACAGGGACAAAGTCGGATCCATCATTACTTGGTGGGTCCTCATCACTAATGGATGATGATTCTTCCTCGTTAATGCTATTTTGGGGTGTAGCTACTTCGGTAATGGGCAACATACTTGGTTGGTAGGTAGCATTGACCATACACACTTGTACTTCTTATTCTTGTTTTTGTAATTTGATATTTTTAATAAAATTAACCACTTTATGTAACTCCAAGTTGATCCTCTGTCTAGTCCCCATATTTACATCTAACTCTTTGTAAATTCTCTTTTTTAGTAACTCTTGTTGTTCTGCCTTGAGTAACTATTCGCGAAGGAGGACCACCTGCTTAGATTCGTTGGCGATTAGGTTGTAGTTAAACAAATGATGGAGATAAACAGGTTTTGTAAGGTCTAACTTGGTCATGGCATAATGACCACTTAACTTTTTGTGTCTATACACATAATAGGTATTGCCGTAATAAACATACCTTCCTACATACTTGAGCTTTTTGACATGAAGTGCGCTTATTCTAGATAACTCCATTTTTCCTTTATTTTTAGAGGCAAGTTTTTGTATTAATTTTTCTCTCTTACTCATTTTATTCTTTGCTTCTTTAGTATCTAATGTCTTTACTTCCACTTCATTTTTGAGGTCATGAAGCCTTGATAACACGTCAGCGTTATTATGTTTCCTACTAGCTCTG